TTGTTTGCTGTTGTTTGCCATGTCTACTGCGGTCGGACTCCTGTGTCCTGGGTTCTGCTTTGTTGCTGCTTGCCATGTCTACTGTGGTCGGACTCTTGTGTCCTGGGTGCTGTTGCTATGTCTGTTGTGGTCGGACTCCTGCGTCCTGGGTTCTTGTTGGCTGTTGTTTGCTTTGTCTTTGAGGTCGGACTCCTATCCCCTGTGTTCTGCTTTGTTGCAATTTGCTGGGTCTATTGCGGTCGGACTCCTACGTCCTGGGTTTTGGCTTGCTGCTGCTTGCTGTGTTGCGTTCGGACATAGATCTCCAGGCCTCTCGTGCGGCAGTACCTTCACTTGCACAAAGAGGTGCCCCGCCTGCGCCGGTGGTCGGACGAGAAAACCCTAAGGCCGTAAACCCTAAACCCTTAGATCTCTCGTGATACGGGAGCCTTTCCGCCCCGGCTGCCAGCGTGCCCGGCACCTGAAGTGGGAGACGGGCCGGAGAGATAAGGCTGGACTGAGCCAGCAGACAGGGCACCGGGGACTCGAAGCTCCATGAGATTGCGAACCTCAGCTGGTTAGCCGGGGGGGCGATGCGATGCTTCTTCCGGCTCTTACCCTTAGCTCTTACAGACACTCTGATGGCACTCTGCTTAGGGCAGGAACCCCTGCGGGGACATTGATGCGAATGTCGCGGGTCATCATCACCGTGCTCTCGCCACGGCAAGTGCGACAAGGATGGTCCAAGACCTGAAGCTCGAACAACGAGCCCTAAAGCACTATCTTTCGGCAATCCATGCCCCTCTGAGTTCGGCTCCATGCCGCTCCCTCGACACCTGCACGAATTTCAAAGCTAGACAGTTGGAGCCTTTGGCAACAAGACCGGCATCGCCTCTGGCATGGAAGGCCCATGCTGAAGATACCCTTCTCTTGTCGGAGTACCCCGGTTCCTCGGCAGACCTCAAGACGAAACGACCGGACTTCGCCGCCACTACACTCTAGAGCCACACCTCAGGTCGGCACGCGGCACTTGGACCAAGTCGTCCCCTCTCGGGCGCCTGTCCCGTGGCAGTCCTGACACACCTCGAGCACAAAAAATGTAATCTGGAGGGGAGGAAAGAGGAAAGCTGTTCGCTGGACCGGACCTGCTTCAGTCTCAGGGAGACCACCTTCTCGCAGCCCTGAGCGGCCTGGCGACGAGCCCACCAGTCGCTGGCCTTCGGATTCCGGATTCCGACACCTCCAGAAAGGAGACGTCGAGGCCAGTGCTGACGTCCTCACAGCAGCGCAGGTCCACAAAGGCTGAGAGTACTGGCCTATTGGCCTAGCCTCGCCCCTCTGTGCCGCAGAGGCGTCCATGTTGGGGCGAAACTGGGAGTTGCGGCCGAAGAGATCCGAGAACTCCGAGAACATCTGGGACGGAGACACCCAACCGTCGCTGTCATCGTAGGGGAAGCCACCTGTGTAGCTGGAGCCCGGCCCAGCACCCGCCGAGGTGCCCGCCGTGGCCTGGTCCAGTGCGGCCCGTTTCTTGGGATCCATCAAGGTGTCATAGGCGCTGGTCAACTCCGCCATCTTCAGCGACGCCGTGCGGTCCCCGGTGTTCAGGTCCGGGTGATACTGCTTCGCGAGGACGCGGAAGCGCTCCTTGACCTCCTGCTGCGAAGCGCGGCGGTCCAGGCCCATGACCGTGTAGGCATCCCGGGCGGCAGAAAGCGCCCGGCTAGCCCGAAAAGCCCCGAAGCTCCGAGGCCCAGGTTGGAGACGGTGGAAGCCGTGGCCGCGCCGCAGCCACGGCGCCAGCCGCGAGGCCATCGCGTGGCCAGCTAGCACTCCATATGGGAGTCTCGATGCTTCTGAGTCTACTGGTTGCGCGTGTGCCAAGTTATGTGGTCTCTGAGTTACTTCATGCGAGATGGACTGTCGGCTTGCAGAGAGAGAGAGAGTCAAGCGACAAGAAAGTGAAGAAGACGCAAGCCCAGGCAACAAAAGCCCACAAGGGCCTCTGGCGGCCGTAGAACCTCCAACCTTCCGGACCACTGATGGGCCTGAACGGGAAGCTCATGGAAGACTCAGCACGCCGCCGAGCTCAAGCATGCCGGAACGCGACTTTTGCACCAATTTGCACCTCGGAATCGGCCGGCATCTCCGAGAACACGCCGTAGCCGCCGAATCCCTCGCGGTCTCCGGACTTGCTGCCAGCCTTCGGTTGGGAAGAGGAGGCGGCGGAGAGGGTTTGCACCCTCGACTACCTTTCGCAGCCCATGAGAAAGGAACGACCAATTCAACTACATGGAGTAGACTCTTTCCGTGTTTGCTGTATGTTAGCCTCGCATTCGATTCCAGAGCATGCCCACAAAGGGCCTCGTAGGACTGCGGTTCCAGCTCTCTGGCTGCAACCACGTGCCTGCCCAGTCGTTGCCCGGACGTCGCTAGCGACGGATGTGGCTTAACGCATCGCACGAAGCCCAAAACTTGGGGGTCGGGCACTTCGGGATCATGCGCCGGCGCCGGCGCCTGGACGAGTTTGCGGGATGCGAGCTTCACCAGGCACGACCAAGGCCTAGCACCTGTTGCACTGGCGACCCTGCGTAGCCCGAAGCAGACGAACCTGTCAGTCACAAATGCATCAAACCGACGGACCACGACGGATGCACCACGATTCGCACATCGCTCACGCCTCCCACTAGAACAGCTGGCTCTGCAACCTGCTACCGGAGACAGCCACATACTTCAAGACAACGTGGTCAGACTTGCAGGGCCTCCAAGCCATCAGCCGAATCTTCAGCATTGCCCCAGCCAGAATCGACCATGGCAGCAGATGCAGAAGGCCCGACAACTAAACGAGTCAGCTATTGCGCCTCATGTCAATGTAGCCTGCGACTACAAAGCAACATGCATGCAAAGGCTCCTACAACTGATCTTGCCAGCTTCTGTTCTCAGAGGATCCGCAGGACTGCCGCACGCATCACAGACATCAACATTCACGGCACCGTGAGGTGCTCAAGACCTTCTTAAGAACATGACGACCACATGCTGATCATGACAACGGATCGGAGGCTCCGATGCTGATGATCATGATGATGATGATGATGATGATGATGCCGATGCCGATGCGGATGCCGATGCCGCTGCGGGGCATTGTCAGACTTTCCAGCCAGCTCGGCATGACGGACCCGCAATTGCCTCAAACTTTCCTGCCCCGCGTTGGACACACAACATGGCTCCAAGAAGTTGCACAAGCAACCGAGGTTACATGTACAGTAGTAACTATTTGCCAAGTTGATGCTTGTCGGTCTCGTTCGTTAACGGAACCAATACACTCCACTCCCCAAGATCGGCTATGCACCATGGCGCATAGCCATAGAATCAAGAAACAGCTGTAGTCAGTCTGGCCTGGAGTAAGTTTCCGCGTGTTGAATGCAACGCGAAACGAAGTTAATATCATGCTTTCAGCATCCTAAACTACCCAGCAGATGACGTCTTCTTTTGCCGGGCCACCGTTGTCGCGCTGCAAGGCAGGCATCACGTTAACATCTGCGGCAAGCGGGATCCTTGCACGGCCTTGATGGCGGAGTGAGACATAAAGATATATAATCTGTATAAAATCCGGCAAAGCAGGCCTTGCAGTGGCCAAGCTGCGAGCGCCTTTCTCTTGAAGCATTCACTGTTCACGAGTCGGGTTGTACACCGTGCGAAGCAGGGAGCGCTCGACAGGCGGGAAACGCAAGGATTGGTAGATCAAATCCTACCCGGTGCTGAATGGCAGCCACTCAGCGCAATAACGTGATTCGCGGTCCTGATCAAAGAAGGCGCGCTTTTCAAACGAAACCCCACCCCTGCCCCCACCAAAGTAAAGTGCTCACAAAGGTCAAGGCGAGCCAACGCCGTCCTGGGCATTACTGCAAGATCATTGTAGGAGCCGGCGCTGCTGCTTCGCCCCGGCCTTCCTCGAGGACACCGATGGAAGGATTTCCGGTAGGAGCTTACGTGGTATCTTTGTTGAGGGATGCGGGCGCCTCCCGGACGCAGGCCGGCGAGGGCGGCGCCGAAGCCGGCGCCGAAGGCGGCGCCGCCCGTGCAGGGCCCGCCGCAGGCAGAGGGCCGGCAAGGCCTCCGAAAGACATCCGAAAGAGACCCGTCCAGCTTTGGGCTGCTCGGATCCTCAATGTGACCTCTGTTACTCCGGATGTTGCCCGTGCAGCCAGGTGCAAAGACATGCTTCCGGCGGAACTACTTCATGTCCGCTGGGTCTCTCCTGTTCAAAAAACCTGTGTTCGTAATCACTGTCTTGCTACTTCACCCCGAAACTGAAACCTGCACTGCCTCTCTCTCTCGTCAGTCTCTGCTGGAAAATCGACTCCCGCCCGAGGAAGCTTCAGAGGCCTGCGCGCTGGTGAGCAGCGATCCTCTCGCGAGCTCGCTCAAGCCATGCCACTGAGACTGAGGATTCAGAAGCTCAGAAGCTGCTCCTCTGGTTTGCGGCCAGAGCATCCTCGAAGGTCCAGGCCTCGACCGCCCAAGCCTCGAGCACGTCAGAAGAGGCTCCGAAACAAGCTTAAGGCGCATCCTACCAAACCCCCACCTCACCGAAGGTCTCAAAGTTCTTCGCGTCGGCCCCGTTCTCACGGTCCAGCCGCGCCTTCCGCCGATGTCGTACCAACGGGAAAACACTGCTGTGCTATGCATGGGTGCATGTGCCATTATGTTGGCTCTCTTTCTTGAAATCCCTCCGTCTATCTGCCCATCTCTCTATAGTCTAGTTACTCTAGTTGTGTTCTATCGGTCCGCCTCTGCGTCTGCATAGGAAAGAGATGTAGATGTGGGTAAATATGTCGGCCCTTGAACAGCTATGGATGTGCCGCTGTAAAGTTCCGTGGGACGCGGCCGTGACGGCGTGCCTCCAGTGCCCGGAGTCGCGCTTCGTCGTCTGTCTCGTCCTGGCATGTGTCCCAAGTGCTCCCAAATACCGAGGGGCGAAAGCCGAAAGTGTCTTCGCTTGCAAACACAGACATGTCTGCTCACGAAGCATGATGATGTTGATGATGATATGATGACGATGAGATGATAGTGATGATGGTGATGATGGTGATGATGGTAACGATGGTGATGAGATGATGAGGAAGTGGAGTGCAGCAGGCAGCACCACCGTCATTACCACAACCATCGCCATCATGATCCCCACCATCGTCGCCTCCGCTACTTTCTAGTTCTGCACATCACCACGGTCACGCGCATCATCACCATCATCACCATCAGTTACAACAACTGGTACAGTTGCAGAATGGCAGAGCAACTCTGCCCCAAGGCCCCACGCTCGGCCTCGCTCACGCAGCCTTCGTTGTCCCAGTACCACTTCGGCATCGGAAGAAGGCGGGGAACGCCGACTGGCCTCCGGCTATTTCTAGTTCGGCCACAACTGGCTTTGGATGCAGCGCAGCACAGCATGTCTGATGCATGATGATGTCATTGATATCCGTAACACTGGCATCAAACATCGAGTGTCTTCGTGTTGATGTGTGCATGTACACATATAGGCGTGCCCTCACCTACAGGTAGGTGTGTGTGTGTGTGTTCTATCAATCTGTTTGTCCGTCTGTCTAAAACCGTGCGGCAGCCGACAAGCCGATCGGCCAGCTCATGAGCCAATAAGCCATCTGTCTATCTCTATGGAAGAACGAATGAATGTATGCATGTATGTATGCTTGTACGGCATAGGCACTTGGAGTGTGGTGATAAGCAGCAGCCTGCTGTGCATGGATGCTTCAGATGCGATGGAGCAGCACGTACTGAAGGAAAGAAACCGCGCATAGCATGCTGCACTCTGCATCCTCTCTCTGCCCAGATGCGTCAAGATCAAAGACACGGCCCGGTCTTCGCTCCCGAAGCCTCGGCTCTCGCAGATGGCCGGCCGAGCGCATCTTCGCCTCCGCTGGGAACCACGGGCTACCAAAAAAAAAAGAGCCCGAAACCCCAAACCCCCCCCTTTTTTTGGGGGGTTTGGCCTCCACGGCCAGAAGGCTCTCTCGTCGGTAGACGCGTCCTCGCACAGGGCTCCATGGCCAGGAGGCGCTTCGGCTGTGCTTCGGCTTTGGCGAGCCTGTGTGCCGCGGCCGCGCTGGAACCAGCCTTTCCAGAAAGGTCGCTGAGGCCAGCGCATCGAAGATCGAAGGGGACAAGTCTCGACTGAATTCAGAGTCCGGCGAAGATGCAGTGCTCCAGGTGCTCATGCCCTTAGTGCTAAAGCGGTACGGAACTGCAAACTTGCGATAGAGCCCGAAGACTTCCTCGCCTGGAGAGCATGCTTCCGCGCTGCAGGCTTCACATCCGGGAACCCCGCTGCAAGCCGCGACACGGGTGTGGTCGCCGTGACTTCTGCCTTGGCGCGCTGACGCCCGTCCTTTCCTGTGAATCGGCGGTCAACAGCCCTGAGGCCAGAACCTCCGCCATCACAGGATGTGAACCGAAGGCCTCAAAAATCTACGCATCGACCCAGGGCGCAGGCCACATCCTCGGGCCGCGGCATAAGGAAGAGACATCGGCGGCACGCCCGGCGCCTGGAGACGCTTGGCTGAGACGGACTCTGAAACCCCTCCTGCTTTGGGGAGCGGGCAGGCTCCGGAAGCTCGGTGAGGGAGACACGCCGTGCGCGGCCCCCAGGCCCGCGCTGCGCGTCCGCCGGCTCCTGCAACAGACAGGAGGGGGGACTCTCCGACTCTTCGGGCACAGGCCCCTGAGACTTGACTTTGGGGCGTTCCTATTTTTGGAAGTCTCCTCCCAGTAGAATTTCACCCGCGCGCCCACGGCGAGCTCGGAAGAGCCGACGCCAGGCTCCAGGTCCGAGAAGTGCAGGAAGACGTCCCCTCGCCCGTGCCTGCCCAGGGCGCCGGCAGCGGCCGAGGCTGTGGAAAGCTCAAGGCAGCAGATAGCGCATCGGAAAGAACAAGAGCTTCAGCTTCAATTCGAGGACGCAGTTAACTCGAAGGGAGCAGAAGAGAGTCGTAAGAAGGCAGCTCGAACTACCAGCCAGTTAATACCCAAGCTTCCAAGTCTATCTGACAGGCTCTCAAACCACTGGCTGAGCCCAGAACTATGACATAATTGACCATAATTCCCTCTTTCCCTCTTCTGGACATGACGCACCTGGCCCCGCGTCCACCGTCGTCGCGCGCAACAAAACCGAAGCCTGAGAGAAAGGTCTCGGGTTTGATGGGTTTGGGATGGTTTGGGTTTGCTGGGGGAGGCCGGGGTAAGCGTGTTCAGGAGCCTCCTACAGCAAAGGTTCCTGTGCCCTCAAGCCGGCCTTTCCCAGGAAAGAGTCGCCGCACCGTGCCCGTTTGCATCGTCATTCCGCCTTTCAACGGGATGGTTCCAAAGATCGAAGGACCGACTGGAAATTCTCACAGGGCAGGGCCTTGAAATTGTGACTGCGCCTGCGCTTGCGAGGACTGCAATGGTGCTGCCTGCACTTGCGAGGGTGGCGGCGGTGGCGGTGGGGGCGGGGGTAGTGGCAATTTGGACTTCGGGTTCCGAAGATGCTGGCTGTGGTTCGACACGTGGCCGACATGGCCGCCAGCCATGGACCATCCATGTGAGTGGGAGGGGGAATGGCCGTTGTGTGGAAGAACAGGATCCTTCTCCATCGAAGCGGAGCGGCTTCGGTGTTTCATGGCATTCTCCAGCTCCTGAATGCTATGAAACTTCTTGCCAGCCAAGCCCTCTAGCTCTTGCACCTCATTTGAGGACGGAGGCTGCAAGCTGATGTGGGGTGGCTGAAAATGGAGGGGGGGAGGAGGATGCACCATCCTTTGTTGATAGTGCCATTGCTGAAGTTGCCAGTGCTGCCAATGCGCATGGCGGGCTTGCCAAGGGGGAACGGGGAGCGATGGACCTTGGTCCTTGAGCTCTTGGGGGGGGTACTCATCGTCTTTGATCTCCTTTGCAGCCGTGTCCGACCCAGGAGAGGTCGTCTCCATCGACTGCAGCGTCTCTGCTTCTGAAAGAGACTTCGTCAATGCAACAGGCACTGACCTTAATGCGAACTTTACACACTTCGGTCAGCGCCGTGGTCGGAAGGCTCTGAAACTTCTGGGGAGCCGACCCTGGGCTGCTTTGGCTGTCAACATTCACCTGAAGAGGGAAGATGCGGCAAGCCCTCCTCAAGGCTATGTCTTCACATGTCTTCACAGTCTCTGCCTCGCCAAGCGAGCCGAGATCCCATGTGCCCTGTGCCGTCTCCATGCGTGGACGACATGTGAATTAAGTTGGAACACGAAGCTTCGAGCCCAGAAGAGACACGCGGCCGCGCAGCAAACATCCCGCACAGCATCGCACATATAGCGCTTGCAGGCCGGCGACCTCGAACCTCGCAGACCTCGCAGGATGCATTTGTCATTCTCGTGCCCCCGACATCTGCCTGCGATTAAAAATGCAGGACGGCAGCAGCCTCGGCACCGCTTGCCTCTACGGGAAATGGCAGCACAGGACTTCCTCGATCCATCGTTCGAATTCCACTGATTATGCGTAAATCAGACCAAAGCCACGTCCCGAGCTGCTAGGCGCAGACACGCGGCTCACTTTTGTTGGGTGGAATTGCGGCTACTGATTTTCAGAGCCGGGAAAACTGCTTAAACATTTCCACTGTTGGCACCGTGCAAGTGGAGCTCACATTCCAATGCTTTAGTTGGGCTGGCCTGGAACAAAGCAGCGATGGCACATAACGACGCAGAAACATGGATGGAGCAGGATTCATTGGTGGCACTTCGCGGCTCAGCTGGACCGCTTCACTGCCCACCTGCGACCAAGGCGGGTGAAGGCTGCGACGAAAATCCGAGGAGACTTGCCAGACTTCTGCCTGGTCAGCCCTGCCAAGGCACGGCGAGCATCCGTGTCCGCCGGGGCCACCAGCGACAAGGCTTCCAAGGCCTCTGCCGAACCCGTTCACACGTCGAGATGGGAGCGGGTCCCCCTCTCCCTCGGATCACAGTAAGTCACAGTAAGCCTGGGGCCTTGTTGGCCATCTTCTCAGCGAGGGCATAGGCTCTTTGGACACCGTCTCCCTCGGCTCGCTGGGCTTTCTGACTCTCTTTGTGAGGGCCCCTTGGGCCGCTTGGGACGATTTAGGCTGCTTCGACTCAAAAGCAGAAGACGCGACGGAGGCCTCATCAATGAGCTGCAGAGCTCTCTCCAGGTCACCGCTGTTTTTGAAACGCCTCTGGATTATCCTGCGTCAGGGCTGCAAGCTCCGAGTCTGATACTCAACGCTGCTATCACTCGCCTTCCTCTGCGCCTCTCTCCCTAAACCCCAAATTTCAGACAGGGCTTGCCTGGCGAGCTCCTTGCTGCCAGGAGCCGGGGTCATCCCGAGGTCCTCAGGGTCCGCGTTCGCGCGAGATCCAAGAGCCAAGCCCCTGCTGTGTCCTCATTGCCATGGAGGCAGAGGATCACCGGCGCCGTGAGGTTTCCTGACACCGCGAGGACTGCCTTTCAAGAGGAGCAACACGTGGGACAGTAGCGAGCCTTCCCTCAGGTCTTGCCCTGTTGGCTTCCCGAGTTCCTCCCCAGAGCCAACGAAATCCAGCACCTGGCACACGAAGGAACAACTCCGCCTTTTGGATCCGGCCTCATCCGCAAAAATGCATCGGCTGAGCACATCATCGGCGATTTGAAAAGCCAGGCCAAGGTAGAAGCCGTAGCTGTACCTCCAACACGGGATGAGCTCGGGAGCATGAGGATCGATGAGAGTCAACGTAGGCTTTACAGATGTCGCCCTTAGTCCTCCGAAAGCTAAACGGCTACAAAGCCCGCAGCAACTTTGCCCAACGCATGGGGCACAAGACATCGCAGACCTCAGCCGGTGGGCCAGTGAGCACCGCGCTCGCCCGGCCTTGGCAAGGCTTGTAAGTACTTCTGTTCGCACATCGGATCAGGAAAATTACGACGACAATGATGATGACGACGACTCGCGGGAATATGAGTTTGCAGATGAGGATGAGCATACGTTTAAGACTACCGATTATGCTGAAAGGCCCCGGTCACTTTCAATTGGAGACTGGACCCTAGCCAGAATCCTGGTCCTAGTCGTTCGGCAAACAGCACTTCTTTGTATGTCCTCTAGCCTGCACCGGGTGTTGAGCGATTTCTTGGACAAACCACGTGAGTGTTGCTTAGGGTAGTCAGGGTGCAGTTGAGACGGCTCCCCACTTTCCAACCCTGAAGCCCGCAACACTTCTCCTTCTTTCGTCAGGGCTATGGGCTAGGGGAGCTCCCCTAGCCCGCGCGCTGTCGCGCCCCCAACCGTTTTGGAGGGGCATGAGAAGCACACTTGCTTGCTTGCTTGCTTGCTTGCTTGCTAGGGGTATGGGCCTCCTAACCCTGGCCCGAAGGCCGACCCCCGTGGCGCGCGAATGTCTGTCGGCCTGGCCCCTTGAAGGGGTTGAGTGTACGACATGTTCCCCTGAGTCTGCCTTTGCCGTAACTTAACCCCCCGAACAAACACCCCTGCTCGATATAAGAGAGACCTAAGGCATGACTCAGGTCTTCCATGTGCACTCCAACAGTCGGCTTGGGTAGAGGGGCAGCGCAGTTTTGCAACAAACACCTCCCTCGATCGTAATAACAACACAACCCGCTGTCCTGCTCCCTCTCCCAGTGATTATGGGTACTTCGCTTCCCCTTGTATCAGGGTGTGCGCCATTCCTTTTCATGGCCCATCCATTCAATCAAGTCTCTCTCTCTCTCTCTGAGGCTTCGGCATGCAGCGGCCAGCAGCGATGCGGTTTTGTAAAAGCTCCTCAACATGCAGCGCGGGGCGACTTGCGGCCTTCGTACTTGGCTTCGGCTGGGCTTCGTACTTCTTCAAGTAGTTGAAAAGACTGACTTGGGTGTCGAAGCGCTTCGCACTCTGAGACATCTCTCCATAGCCAAACCTGAGTGCGGGGTTGGCCGGGCCGGTCGGCTGCGCCGTCACTCCCCTTCCCCTCCCTCTAAGCCCACGGCTCTTCTATCACCAAGGAGACCAGTCGGGTTACCTGCCCGAAGGGGGACCGGGGGGCGAGCTTAAGGAGCGCACGCGCCGAGCGGGGCGGACCTCATCCTCCTCCAGGGACTCGATGAGGCCCGAGGCGTGGGCAAAGAGGAAATCCCCACTGAGCACCTGAAAAGCGCCACCGCCACCCGGCGCCCAAGGCCAAGGCCAAAAAGACTGGCACTCTGCCGAGGCAACGGCCGCAACGTCTGGGCCGAAGATCCTATGCATCGTCTGCTGCTGCCTCCTGGGGGAAGCACCGAGACGCAGAAGCCTCGCCTCCTTTCCTTCCGTGCTCCTCGTGTCGGCGTCATCGAGGATGTCGTCGTGGACCAGGGAAGCCGTGTGGATGATCTCAATCGCCGTCGCGAGCACCAAGACCTTGTCGTAGGCAACACCTCCAGCATCGCATCAGCTTCTGGTCTGCCTTCGTCTGCTCGTTTTCAGCCCTGGCCTTGCGAAGGAGCTGCAGCCATCGAATACCTGGACACCGTCCTGTTATCCACCCCTTGAGCTCCAACCGCTCCAAAGCTGAAGCGCTTCCGGGAGGTCCTGCGCTGGGAGCCAGAGGAGTCGTCCCTCGGCGTTCGCACCCTGACCCTTCAGAGAGAGCAGTAGCGCACATCAAAGGCTCGCACAGCATGGAGTGGACCAGCAGGCCTCGAAGCGAGCTGCGCGCAGAAACACACAGCATCTATGGCCCACAGATGCCCACAGCACAGCAGACAGCACGGGGAGCTGGCAAAGCGCTGGACGGAGACGCTTGCCTCCACTGCTGAAGACCTGCTCCAATGTCAAGACCAAGACTGCTTGACCTAAATGCTGCTATCAGCTCAATCAAACTGCCGGGAAGGCCAGGGCCAGGGCATCGTCTAAGTCGAAGACATTCAGTCCCAGTCACACCAACACACATCCCAGAAGGCTGTTTTGCAAGTCTGGCGGTGGTCGAACTCGAGATCCACTCCGGCTGCCGGCCTCTTCGACGGCATACTTCAGCCTCGGAGAGACTCTTTTTGGAGTCTCTCTCCCCCCCCCTGAGATGTAACTTGGGCGTGTGAACCCTCGCAAGGCGTACAGGCACACAAGCACGCAAGTGTCTCTTTTACAGCTATCCGGCTG